GTGACCAGGTGGTAGAGAGTGAGCCAGAGCGGGGGGGGGTGGGTGGCAAGAAACTCAGCGGGCATAGCGGCACGGAAGCGGGCCTCACTAGAGCGGAGGTGCGTGATGAGGTCAGCGACTGTGGGGAAAGCGGACAGGTCGGGGAAAAGGTAGGGGAGCGAGAGACGGCCTAGCGCAGCAGAAGCAGGTGAGGAGTAGCGTGCCACTACAGCAACAGTGCCTGCGCTGTTTTGTGCTGGCCAAAGTGCTCACGCTCATCGATCGGCAGGGAGTTGCGAATAGCGAAGCGCGTGTGGGCGTCACGAGTCTGCCACTGTGAACGGGCAGTACTGTCAGCAGTAGCAGCAGGGGCAGCAGCATGGCCTAGCGCGTGATCGTACAGTGAGATATCCTCCTTGGCAGTGAGCTGGAGGAATAGGTGGAGGTCATCGAGCCAGGTCTCAAACTTCAGTGGGCGGCCCTCAGCATCGAAAGCTAGTACAGAGGGACTAGCCATAGTTGTAGTAGCAGTAGTAGTAGAAGCAGTAGTAGCAGTAGCAGGAGTAGCAGTAGCAACTGTAGCAGTAGTAGCAGTAGTAGTAGTTGGTGGGGCACAGTAGGGCGGCGCGGCGCGGTTCAGGCGGCGCGGCTCGGTTCGGGCGGCGCGGCTCGGCTCGGACTGGGCTACGCGGCGGTGCGCGACGGGGGGCGTGCGCGTGGGCGGCTGTAGCGGGCGGGCCGTGGCTGTGCGTGGGCCTGACTAGCGCGCGGACGGCGGTCTAGAGGGGCGACGCGTCGGCCTAAGGGCGGGGCTGCGTCGCTCTGGACGGCTGGCGACGGGCGGCTAGCGGGCTGCTCGTGGGCGGCGCTCGTCGCGCGGGCGGCTAGGGGTCGGCGCGCGCTCTGGAAAGGCCGCGCGTGGGCCGCTAGCGGGCTACGCGCGCGAAGAAAAAAGGGCCGCGCGCGGCACTAGCGAGCTGCGCACGGGCAGCAGGAGAGGAAAGGCGCACGAGGGCGCACTAGGAGAGAGGCGCTCGAGGGCGCTAATGCATTAAGGCGCTCGAGGGCGCTTCTAGCGGAACGGTGGGCCCTATCGTTCGGTCCTAGGTTACGACCTAGGCTCGTAATACCATGTTAAAATCTTAGAGAGAACAAGAATGATGAACTAGGAAGAGAATGGAGTACAAGTACCACAAACCTAGAGTAGTATACCCCTTAGAAGGCTAACCCACTATAGCCTACACAAATATAACAAGTATAATGTTTGACAAAAAGAAGATAGGAGACGACGGCTGAAGCTGCAGACACACGGGCAACAGGAGTGCGCTCTGCGACTCAGTGGCTACCGGGAGCTAGTGCCCCGGAATACAGGAGTAACAGGCTCTGCGGCTGCGACGAGCGGCAGGAGCAACGGACCCACGGGCGACAGGTGCAGCAGGCTCTCTGAGCTACCGGGAGCAAGTGCCCCGGAATACAGGCGCTGCGGACGACACGACGGCAGCCTCCTCTCAGCCTCCCCAAACAGTCCCCCCCCCCTGACACACACCCCCTGCTTCACCCCTAACTCCACTCCCACGTCACCCCCCAGTTCCACTCCCCGCGGCTCCCACACCTCCACCCCCCTCAGCGGCAGCTGCAGCAGTGGGAGACGGAAGGGGAGGAGGAGGAGCAGGTGAGGTACACACTCGCCACCCCCATACGCTCCACCCCCAAACCCTAATACAGGAGCACGGGCAGCAGAGGGGGTGGGGCGCGGTCAGAAGCGCGGGGGACGGCGCGCGGCTCAGGGGCAAACGGTACGGGCCGCCCACGGGCCTGGCGAAGGCCGGACGAACCGCGCGGGGGCGGCCCGAGCCGCGCGCGGGCCTGGCGCAGCCCGTACTGGCCGCGCGCGGGCCTGGCGCAGGCCGTACGGGCCGCGCGCGGGTCCCCACGGCAGCGTGACGGGAGGACGGGCCCGCGCGCGGGCTGTACGTGCCGCGCGCGGGCCTGGCGCAGGCCGTACGGGCCGCGCGCGGGTCCCCACGGCAGCGTGACGGGAGGACGGGCCCGCGCGCGGCCTGCAGGGCGACTCGACGGGAAGGGCGGGGGCTGCGCGCGGGTCCCCCAAGGCAGCGCGACGAACAGGGCGGGGGCTGCGCGCGGGTCCCCCACGGTAGGAAACCGCCGCGCGCCTCGGGCCGCACGGCGGGCAGAAAACCGCCGCGCGCCCCGAGCGCGCGGCGGGATGAAAAAAACGCCGCGCGCTCCGGGCGCACGGCAGGAACAAAGGGTCACGCGCCCGGGGCGCGCGACAGCAGTAGAGCAGCGGAAGCAGTTAGGTGGTGGGCCCACCCACAGGATCGACCCAAGGGGGTCGACCTGCTCTGAAACCATTTTTTTTTTTTTGTTGAGGAAGGAAAATTGGACTAGCAAGTAGCAGGATACAAATAGCAAACCCTAAGGGGCTGTACTCACTATTGAGTACCCCACTGCAGGCTACACAAACAACATATTCTGACAACTGTCTGCTGCCGCGCCGCGCTGTGCAGCCTCGTTTTCAGCACTGCAGCCTGACCTAGCTGCTACCAGCGACCGTTACTGTCCTTTTGTTTGACGCAGAGGGGCGCCCTGTCAAGTATGAATCCTGGCTAGAAGACTTGCACCTGTACCTGCATAGCGTCGCAAAAGACTACGTCTCACTGTTTGAGCACACGTTGGGGTTCCTTAAGGCCCCACCCACTCCAGAGGCACCTGCCCCTACTGCGCCAGCGGACGTGCAGCAACAGTATAGGACACACCGCGTTGCCTGCACACAGTGGTTGGCATACGACGCTGTTAAAGTTAGATTTAATGTTTATCATGTTTGTTGTTGTTACTGTAGTGTTTGTACCTCTTGTTGGTGGTGTACCACCTCCTCTGCATCATTCTCGACTATATGTTGTATGCTTTGCTTTTGGTGAAGCTCACTTCTTTGGTCAATCCTCTCGACCCTTGCTCGCCACGCTCGTCGCCCGCTGGGCCTAGGCTTCTAAGCCTAGGCCCCTTAAACCTGGTTCTTAGATTATATCCGTATCGTGATATGGTATTGAGCTAGGTCCGATTTAGGACCGTTAAATGGGCCCACCAGTAGCTTTCGCCATGATGTGCCCCGCCGCACAGCCCGTAGTATGCCCGTCGCGTTTCACTGCCCGTAGACCCTTTCGTCGCGTTCTGCCCGCTAGCGAGCCCGACAGCACGCGCGTCAGCAAGCGAGCCAGCAGAACCGCCGACGGACTCGCCAACGGACCCGCCGACAAACCCGCCAGCGTGCGCGTCAGCATACCCACCAACGGATCCCCCGACGAACCCGCCGACGGACCCGCGAGCGAGCTCGCCAACGGACCCGCCAGCCCGCCATCAAGCATATCAGCGGACCCGCCGTCGGATCCGCAAGCAGACCCGCCAGCAAGCGAGCCAGCGGACCCGCGGACTCGTAAGCAGACGAGCCAGCGGACCCGCGAGCCCGCAAGCAAGCGAGCCGACGGACCCGCCGTCGAACCCGCCAGCAACTGCCGCCAGCACCGACGCCAACCGCCAGCGCCGGCAGCAGCACCATCCGCCAGCGCCACCACCAGCACCCTCGCCACCCGCCGCCAGAACCACGTCGCCCGCCCTCACGTCAGCCCCTATGCTGCTGCCGCGACTGCACATTCCGCGACTGCAACTGTTGTGCCGCCCCGTGCGGCCTCCCTGCGCTCCCCCCGTCCCGGTCCTTCGCGTTTGCGCAGGCAGTCATTGTGGTGGGGTGAAAGAGGGAAAAGGGGTGGCGGCTGTCGCGCCAGCGCCAGCACCTGCACCGGCGCTAGCCACCAACGCCAGCACCGGCACCAGCGCCAGCCGCCAGCGCCAACTGCTAGCCCTGCCGCCCGTCCCTCTATCCCCCCCCCCTTCCCCGTCGCCTTCCCTTCCGCGACTGCGGCTGTGGGGGGTGGGGGTGGTGTGGAAGGGGTGGCCGCCGTGATCCACTACAGCACCACCCTCTACCCTACCTCTGCACGGGATACCCGCGGCGACCGCGACACTCGCCCCAATACTATTCCCACCACCTCGAACTATCGTGCCCAAACCACCCGGCTCGGCTGGTAACGTGAGCCCCGGTCCTACGCCTCGACATTTCCCAACCTCGGCATGAGACCCGTGGTGATTTCTCTATATAAATATTTGCTCATGCCTTCGCTCATTGTATTGTTTGCCTCGATAGTGCAATTCTAGCTAGATCACTCAATTGCACTCTTTACATCACTACACATTCCCTGCCATATTCCCGACGTAAGTAAACATTACACCCCCAATATCGCGTATGGGTCTTTCGCATTTTCCCAAGAACCGTCACGCTGTCACGCCCGTCAACTGTCATCACACCTCTCACTCCTCGCTGTGCCCGCCTCGCTCAATTCGTCGCAGACTCGCACGAAGGCCTAGTCGTTCGCCGTCGTCCAGTCGAGTGAGTCTCACTCGCTGCGCGCCGATACACTTTCCGTTGCCACGACATTGCGCCAGCACCGCACAACCGCCCCGACGGGTAATTCCCGCGGCTCGACTCCTCTGCGGTTGCAATCCAGAAGTGTCGTGACTCGCTGAGTCGCGCGTGCGTGTCGCTCCCATGTCGCATGTCTTCAGGACCCTCTCTCCCTCTCGCGTCGTCCCATCTCGCGCTTCTCGAATGGCTTGTTGCGAATCTCTCGTCGTCCGTTCAGCAGCAGTGACCTCTCCTGCGCGAATCTCAGCCGTCGCCCCTCAAGGCCCCATGTCACAACCCCACCCCCCGCCGCCTGCCCCCGCCTCTTGCTGTGCGGCCCTTGTTGGTGGCGAGTCGTTGTGTCAGTGGACGAGAGAGTGGGAATGGCAGGAGGCGGTGGAGGAGCGCAGACTGCCACCGCACACCGAGCCGGGGTGCCTCGTCGCTCTCGCCTTCTCATGAACCGCACTCATCGCACGGACTGGACTGCAATGATCGTTCGGATTTCGCTCGTTTTCCGCCGGGCGATTAACCGCCGCCTATGATGCCGCCGTCAGCGCACCTTCACCGCCTTCCGGAAATCACCCCCGCGTCCCCTAGTAGTACTACCTCCGCCTCCGCCGCTCCCTCCGCCTCCGCCGCTCCCTCCGCCTCCGCCGCTCCCTCCGTCCCCGCCGCTCTCTCCGCTTCCGCCGCGACCAGCAGCGCCCCCAAGCTGCCCTCCGCGCTCCCCGCTTTCCTCCGCACAGGGCGCAGGGAGGGCGCGGCAGGCGGGGGAAGAGGGGACGGGACGCGGAGAGGGCTGGGGGATGAGGGGGAGTGGGCGGGCGGAGGGCACGCAAGGGCAGGGGGAGGGATGAGTGTGGATAGTAAGGGGCTCCAATGGAGGGATGAGGTGGATAAAGGGGATGAGGGGGGTAAAGGGGACGAGGGGGGTAGCCGGATGGGGGGAGAAGGCATGGTGGTGGTGGACGTGGGCGGCGAGGGAGAGGGTCATGGGGAGCAAGAAGAGCTCAGATACATCCAGCGTAGTTCCAACCAACCGCACCGCGCCACGTGGCTGTTCCATGACGTCATCACCGCCCTGCGATCCTCCGCCGTGTTCCAACTGCCAGCACTCACCCACAGCAGCAACGATCACGATTCCCCATTACCAGTCCCTCAGATACCACCTCCCCCAGGCGCCACCTGCGTGGGCGGGTGTGGCATCAGCAACCAGGCAGCGCTCTCCATCCTCCCCTGCGCGCTGCATTCCCTGCTGCACTGCGTGGCCGTGGGGCAGCTGCTCGCTCTGCTCACCCGCCACGCCTTCTCCCCCCGCCACGCCCTCCTCTCCACCGCCCTCGCTGAGGCCCTCTTCGCTCTGCTCTCCGCCCTGCCTGCCACCGCCCCCGCGCCCAGCCCCCTGGGGGCAGCGCTGATGGGCGGGCTGTGGCGGGTGAGTGGCGCGCTGGGGGTGCCGTTCCTGCCCTGGCTGGGGTGGGTGGGGCTCTGGGCGGCTGTCTTCCTGCTGCTGGCAGCAGGGGGGAATGCGTGCCGAGCTGCGGACCAGTGGGGTGCTGCCACGTGGCGGGTGGAAGGTGTGGTGACGAGCGGGGTTCTGTTTGTGGGTGCGGTGCAGATGGGTGCAGAGGGTTTCAGGCAGGCGGCAGGGGTGGTGGGAGGGGAGGCAGTGGCGTTTGCGACGGTGTGTGTGGCGGCGGCTGGGGTCATCATTGCACTGTGGCTTAGCAGAGCTGCCACGTGGCATGTTCTGAGTGGCTACATCCGTGGTTCGCTTGCCCACTATGCTCTCATACTGGCCTTCCTCGCCTCTGCAGGCACGTACTCCCTCACTTACGTATGCTCTCTCCATCACTCTCTGGTGCTCTCTCTCACTCGCTTCAACGTTTTTGCTTGAGATAGAAAGGGAGCATGCACGGTATGGGCCTGCGCTGGCCCATCTGGAGTTGCTCCCACGCCTGCCCAACAGGGTCGGTCCGAGGCATACCCGGACCAGGGGACTCGCTGCTCAGGATAGAGCTGGCCCAGGCCCGGCCTTGCCACTCTTTGTTTTATATCCCTGCTTCTTGCTGTTGCCTTGACGCATGGAGAGATGAACGTCTGTAAGGTTGGTTCCATGACAGACTATTCTGGGACCTGGTGGGTGCAGGACATGCAGGGCATGCAGGGGATGGAGGGTATGGAGGGTATGAAAAGTAGAGAGGGAGGGCACGCGCCTTCCTGCAGTGAGGCAGCACCACCATCTTCTTGCCAAACTTGGCCGTCGAAGCTGCTGCCGTGGCATAGAGTGCTCTTTGAGGGGTTGTAGCCACAGCGCTCAAACCTGCCGGCCCAACCGGTGTGTTAGGAAGGTCGCCTTGGGGCGCATGTGCCTTGGGGGCGCATGTGCCTTGGGGGCGCATGTGCCTTGGGGGCGCATGTGCCTTGGGGGCGCATGTGCCTTGTACGTCTCTATTCCCCTCTCACTCACCTCTTTCCTCTCCTTTCCATCTCGCACCCTCCTCCTCCCCGTCTTTCCCCCAGTGCTCCTGGCGGTGCCCCCCTTCCTCCATCTCCCTCCGCTGCTCTCCTACCAGCTGCCTCTGCAGGTCGCCCCGCCCCTCATCCCGCCCATCCCATGGGGCGCCCACCTGGGGGGCGTGTCAGTGGGGGCGGCACTGGCAGCGGCACTGCCGGGAGCGCTGCTGGCGGCGCTGCTCTTCCACTCGCACAACACAGCAGCGCTGCAGCATGAGGTGAGGAGCAGCGCTGCAGCATGAGGTGAGGAGCAGCACATGTCTAGTAGAGGTTTGGAGTCTTTGTGGGGTCAGCATTTTGGTGACTTCTGTGTGCAAGGGGGGCAGCACTGTTCGTTGGTCGCTGTTGCGTTGGTCACTTTCACCCCTCCTCTTTCCCCCATCCCTGCTATTCCTTTTCCTTCACCCATTTTCCCTTCCATTTTCCTCATTCCATTCATTCTCTCCTTCCCTAGCTCTATGCCCCATACTCATCTCTCTATTTCCCCCTACCTTTCCTTACCCCTTCCGCCCACCCCTCCCTTTCCGGCTACCGCCCATAACCGCACCCCACACTCCCCAACACCTCAGGCGCAGCTGCATACTGCTGCGGGGTGCGGGCGGCGAGTGGAGGGGCGAGAGGGAGCAGGATGTGCGAGGAGGAAGCAGAGGGGAAGAGGGTTGAAGGGGTGGAGAGGCAGGGGGGAAGACGAGGAGAGGGCAGGGGACGTGGAGTGGGGTATGGGCAGGGAGGAAATCGAAGGTGGCGTTGGAGTAGGGTTTGGCGAGGGTAGAGGAGGGCGGGAAGACTCGGCGGGGAATATTGAGGGGGTAGGGGATGGTGGAGGTATAGGGGAGGAAGAGAAGAATGAAGAGGAGTGGAGGATGGATGCAGGAGATGGGGGTGCGGGGACTGTGGGAATGGCAGGGAAGTGTGAGGGAGGGTGTGAGAGAGTGAGTGTGAGGGAGTGGGACCTGTGTGTGACTGCCATAGTGGTGGCTCTCTGTCTCCTGCTGGGCCTCCCTCCTCCTGTTCGCATTCCGTATCTGGTAACTATCACCTGTGCACCCTTCCATATCCATACGCCCCATTTGTGCCACATCACACCCTGCCACCACCCAGTTTAATTCTCGTCTGTCTTTATTTTTCTATAAGACTCGACCCTGTTTGTTTCTGGATTCTCCACAATGGTTTCGCTTCGTGGCTGCTCATGGCACACGGTGCCCTCACACATTTCACACCAGCAACCTTCCTCTCCCATCTTGCTGCACCCCCCTTTCTGTGCCCTCCTTCCCCTGCAGAGCACCATCCGCCTCTCATACCTGCTCAAGCATGCACCCGCCACACCTGCCACTGTCACCACCGCCATTCAACGCCGCACCGTCGGCCCTCATGTAGCCCGGCCACGCAAGCACTCCTCCCGCGCCACCACCATGAGGCCCGAAACCGACTCCATGCTGCTGCCTCTCGTGCCACTCATGCCACTCGCTGCTGGCAGCCAGGGGAACTCGTCCGTGCCAGGCACTCATTACAACCCCCCTGCCCCCCTGGCGGCGCTGGTGTGTGAGTGGCGCACCGTGGGGGTGCTGCTGGCGGCTGTGCTGGCCCTGCTCGCCCTGCCCTCCACGCCTGCTCGCCTCCTCACCCTCGTGCCCGTCGCCCCTCTCATCGGCACGTGCATGGCGGTGAGTGCCTCTCGTTTGCACATGCATGATGATCATTGCCTGCTTCCAAAAGTGTGGTGTGGTCGAGTGCATTCCATCCATCAGCTATCAGCTCCTGCCAGCAGCCCCTCTTTTGAACTCCCTCCTTAGTGTGCATATGATCGCTGCATAGCGGTTCCTTATGTTCCTGTCAGCAGGCAGCTTGGCCCTGTCAGCGGGCAGCTTGGCCCTGTCAGCGGGCAGCTTGGCCCGGTCAGCGGGCAGCTTGGCCCTGTCAGCGGGCAGCTTGGCCCTGTCAGCAGGCAGCTTGGCCTGGTCAGCGGGCAGCTTGGCCCGGTCAGCGGGCAGCTTGGCCCGGTCAGCGGGCAGCTTGGCCCGGTCAGCGGGCAGCTTGGCCCTGTCAGCGGGCAGCTTGGCCCGGTCAACGGGCAGCTTGGCCCTGTCAGCGGGCAGCTTGGCCCTGTCAGCGGGCTGTCCAGAGCGATGGTCAGCGCCATCCACATCCCCACATGCACGCTTCCCCACTCCCATGATCCCAACCCACCTCCCCCCTGGTGTGCATATACTTTGCTAGCTATTGCGCTATGCGTTTCCCCATGCCATCACACATTGTTCCCTCACACTCCCCCCTCCCCTGCCACCCGCAGATGGCCATCCTCCTCTTTCCTCCTTCGCTCCACCTCCACCTCCTCCTCTCCCTCGCCCATCCCTCCCGTCGCCCTTCTCTCCCTCCCCTTCCCCCGTCCGCCCTCCCTTTCCTCCGCCGTCTCACCTCTCTCGAGTGCCTCTCAGCCGGCCTGCTGCTCGGGTGGTCCTACCTGCCCTTCCTCGCCGCCTCCTTCCCTCTCCCCCTCCTCCTCCTCGCCCTCCTCATGACCCCCCTCCTGCGCCGCCTGCTCCCCCCGCCCCTCTGCTCGCTCCTCTCGCCTCCCCTGCTTCCCTGTGCCGCTGCTCGCCATGGCCGCAACGGCAGCAGCAGGAGTGGCAACAGAACCCCAAGTATTATTCTCACCAGCAGCGGGAGCAGCAGCAGTAGCAGCATTAGCAGAGGCGGTAGAGGCAGAAGCAGTAGTGACACAGACTGCCGGGCAGAACCGTTTACCATACGTGGGAATGAAGAGGGTGGGGGTGGAGGGGCTCGTGGTGAGGGTGGGGGGGCAGGGTGGAAGGTAGGGGGAGTAGCGGAGCGCGTGAGCAGGGGGGGAGAAATGCGGAGAGGCAGCTGGAATGGAGAAGAGGGGAGTGAGTTGGAGGGGAGTGGGGTGGGTGGTGAAGGGGAGGAGGGGAGAAGGGGTGTGAAGCGACGCGCAGTGGGTGGGGGGCAAGAGTGTGAGGTGGAGAGGAGACATGGGTATGTGCATGTAGATGGCCGTGTGAATGGGCATGGGCATGGGCATGGGCATGGGCATCAGAACATGGTGGTGCATGGTCCTCAGGCCACGGATGTGGGTGTGACGTCAGGGCTGACATCAGCATGGCATGACATCTCGTCGGACGACTCATGCTCTCCTCTGAACCCCTCTGTGCACCACTCCACACCTCCTCTGAACCCCTCTGTGCACCACTCCACACCTCCTCTGAACCCCTCTGTGCACCACTCCGCACCTCCTCTGAACCCCTCTGTGCACCACTCCGCACCTCCTCTGCAATACTCAGCACCCCCTGTACGCCACTCCACGCTCCCTCTGTACCTCTCAGCACCTCCTGTGAACAGGCAGCCTGCAGCCAGGCAGTGGCAGCAAGGCAGCGGTGGGCTGGCAGACAGCCGGACAGGTTCTCAAGCGCAAGGCTGGGCGCAGCACGAGAGTGAGGGAGACGAGGAGGGAAAGGAGGAGGGGCGGGATGGAAGGGAGGAAGGGGAACAGGAGGGAGGGGAGGAAGATGAGAGGAGATTGGAAGAGGAAATAAAGGAAGAGAAGAGAAGGTCAATTCCAGGTGCCCCTGCGGCTGTCCTGTCCTCCTCCCGTGCGCCTGTCGCCCTGCCATCCATCGCCCATGTGACAGTGCACAGCAACGCTCTCTTCTCCCCCGCCTCCATCATCGCCACTCTTGCCGGTGGCTCTGCAGGGCGAGGTAGAGAGAGAGGCAGAGGGCGAGGCAGAGGGAGAGGGAGAGGTGGAGAGAGGGAGAGAAGGGGGATTGGGGCAGGGAAGGGAAGTAGGGGCACTGGGGCAGAGACGGATGTGTGTGATGGTGCCGGTGGTCCTTCGACTGTGACGTGGACGAGTGAGAGTGGTGGTGGTTCGCATAGAGGGAGTGAGGGAGTGACGAGTGAGGGAGCGGTGGGAGGAGGTATGGTGGACATTGGAGCTCGGTTCAGAGGGATGCTGAAGAGTGGTGTGGGGATGGAATGCATGATGACTAGTGAGGCGAGTGGGGAGGAGGAGGAGGAGGAGGAGGAGGAGGAGGAGGAGGAGGAGGAGGAGGAGGAGGAGGAGGAGGAGGAGGAGGAGGAGGAGGAGGAGGAGGAGGGGGGGGGGGGGAGGAGGAGGAGGGGGGGGAAGAGGAGGAGGAGAGAGGGGAGCAGGGCGAGGAGGAATGGGGAGATTCGGAGAGTGTGGAAGGGCAGGAAGAGACGGGAGAGGAGGGAGGCGGGGGAGGGAACAACGGGGAGGGGGGTGGTCGTGAATGGACAGGAACGGGGGTTGGGGAGGACGAGGGGAAGCGGAGTGTGGGGGGAGAGGAAGAAGGGGTGGAGGCCAAGAGTGTGGGCAGCCGAATCGGGGAGGAGGCAGACGTGAGTGGAGCAGAGGAGGCAGCAGGTGCAGCGGTCAATGGGGGAAGCGAGGTGGTGGATGAGGAGGGGAGTGAGGAGGGCGGGATGGAAGGGGCGCAGGAGGCAGCAGTGGCATGGGGGATGGCGCAGATGGGGGGAGCCGGTGGGGGAAGCGTGGTCTATGGGGCAGAGGGAAGACAGTGGGACGAGGAGGGACGAGTGGGGAGAGGGGAGGAGGCGGAGAGGGTGAGAGCGGGAGTGGAGGAGGTGGCAAGCATCATCGGGCGCATGTCGGCTGGCGTGATGTCCGTGGATGCCGGGTCAGGAGCCTCGTGGGCGTCACATGCCTCGTCAGCCTCGTGGGTGCCCCCCACCCCGTCGCCCCCTTATGAGCGCAGCAGCGAGGGCGAGAGGGACAGGAGGGATGGGAGGGTTTGGAGAGCGGGGGGGAAGAAAGGGAGGAATGAGAGGGGGAGGGATGGAGGCAGAGGGCTAGGGGGAAAGGGGTCGAAGGCGGGTGGGGGGGATGGGTTCGGTGCAGGGAGAGGGGGAATGAGGGGAGCAGCAAGTGGGAGGGGGCGTAGTGCAAAGGGCGTTGCCAGTGCTGCCAATGTAGGCAGGGCTGCTGCTGTTGATGCTGGCACTGGTGCTGCTGCTGGCATTGGTGCTGGTGCTGTCAGGGGTGCCACTGCCGTAGGTGCTACTGGTTCTATTCATGGCATGCCTGCAGGCAGCAATGCTACCAGCAATGCTGCTGCCACTCATGTCACCGCTGCTGCTACAGGCAGTGCGATGGGCGCACAGGGTGAAGATGGGGTTGTGGGAGAACAGGTGGCAGCGGCAGTGGCGGCAAGGAACGAGAGAGAGGGGTTGAGTGTGGGGGGTGCAGGGAGCACAGGGCAGCAGTCTCTGGGAGCAGCAGCAGCCGCCGCAGCGGCAGCAGTAGGAGGATCACAGGCATGGTCAGGGGAGGGTGTGCAGAACAACACAGTGGGAGGTGGAAGCATCGGGCAGTCAGGGCCAGCTATGGGTGTGGGTGCACTCCCATATGCTATGCCCTCTGCTGCACCGTCTGCTCCCAATCCTCTTCCTTCCTCACCTACTCCTGCTACTCCACCTGTTCAACCAGTACCCGCACATGCCCCACATGCCCCACATGCCCCGTATGCCCGTAGCACACTTGCACCCATAAGCCCCGTGCTGGCAGCCCAGCAGGCGCAACCCCCCATGAACCCGCCACACGCATGGCAGCTGCCAGTGCCCCTCCACCCCACCACCACCACCCCTCTCGGCAACGCAAAGGGCCTTGCCAGGCCGCCACCTGTGCCCCTGCTGCAGCGTGCACAGACAGGAAAGCGAGGCGTGGAGGAGGGCCAGGGGCGGGGCAGCAGGCACGCGGAGGCGGCCCACCCGTCACTCATGTTCCTGGCTCGCCGCGCTGCCACCGCCGCCCATGCCCCGTGAGAGGAGTTCCTCCTGCTTGCATGGTGTCGGTGGTCTGTGGGTTCTATGCGTGCAGAACCACCCTCCCATGCAGTGCCCGGGCGGTCGGTGGGGCGCCCGCCTGTCACACACGCCCTCTTGGGTTGCAATGCTGGGGATCATGTGGAAGGGCCAGCAGTTGCTACAGCAGTTGGAGCAGCGGTTAGGTTGAAGGGCCTCGGCTATAGTGGAAGGACGTATCGCAGTGCTGCAACTTATGTGGTCAATGCATGGGGTGCTCAGAGTATGTTGTATGTGTATACTATCAGAATAACTGTGCAGGAATGATTGGATTAGCAAGAGTTGGGGTACAAGTACTAACCCTAGAAGTGCTGTACCCCATAAGGAGTGCCTCACTATAGCCTACAAGTAAGATTGTACTTTGACACACCCCCATAGGATAAGTGGGGGACAACAAGACGGTCTCAAGACCAGTCAAGCAAGACAACAGAGCAAAGCAAAGCAAAGCTCATGGTGGATCTCAAGGACACCACACATCCGAGCACAAACAAGTGGCCACAAGGTCAGTTCACATGCAGAGTTATAATAGCAAGGCAGTACACTAATCACAACCTAGCAAGAGGAAACATGCAGGTATAAATATAGATATCAGTGAACAACAAGTGCAAGATCAAGAGACAAGCAGGTGAGTTAGAACGGGTAGAAGCCCAAGAGCAGTGCAAAAACGCTGAAGATCACCAGACCCGAGGGCCTTGGTGAAGACATCAGCAGTGTTGGCACGAGATGCCACGTAAGAATGACGAAGCTGACCACGCTGCTGCAGCTCTCGAGAAAGAAAGTAGCTTCGTTCTGTGCTCCAGTCTCTGCTCCCGACACAAGGCAAGCATGGCCTTGTTGTCGACGTACAGAAATGGAGGAGAACGAGGCCGCTCCCCCAAGTCGGTCAGCAGGTAGGTCAGCCTGCGTAGCTCCTGTACAGCCATGGCCCCAGCGTAGATCTCGGCCTCACAGCTGGAACCAAGCACAGAAGAAGAACGAGTGGACCTCCACGAGACAGAACCAGAGCCAATACTGAAGGTGTAACCCTGGGACGAACGCTGAGTCGCCTGGTCGTCGGCCCAAGAAACGTCGGAGTGTCCTGTGAGTACCACTGAACCCTGTCCTCCAAGCACAAGCCCCATGCCCGATGTACTGCACAAGTAACGCAGTACCCTCTTCGCAGCATCAAAGTCACCTTTCGGTGTCTACCGGGTGCCACGTAGCGAGCCAGGAGGCTGAGAGGGTACGCGAGGTCAGGTCATGTGCACGTCATCAGGTACATGAGGCAACCCACAAGCTCTGGGTACGGACCACTCGGCTCTACGGACTCGTCCGAAGGTGGAGCTGAGAGCGAGTGGCCGGTAGACAGAGGAGTGGGCTGTGGCGAGGAGTACTGGAAGCCGAAGCGCCAAAGGACCTGGTGCACCATGTGTGACTGAGTCAGGGTGATGGTGCGCCGTGCTCTGTCCCGGGTGATCTGCAAGCCAAGATAGCTACGCAACTCACCCAGGTCAGTGCAGGTGTGTCTCTCCTGCAGCTCCGCCTTCACTAGGGCCAGCGCCTGAGTGTCAGCAGTAGCAAAAACCAAGTCATCGACGTACACAAGAACGTAGAACGGCGGCAGGGTAGTGTCGGTGCGTAGAAACAGCGATGGGTCAGCAGAGGAAGGAGCAAACCCAAGAGCCGCAAATGTAGTCCTCAGTGTGTCGTGCCACTCTCGGGGCGCCTGGCGGAGACCGTAGACTGGCCGCCGGAGGCTCCACTGGGTACCCGCAGGAAACGACCCAGTGAAGCCAGGTGGGCGGCGCAGCCAGATCTCCTCGTGAAGGCTGCCCTGCAAGAAAGCTGTGGAGAAGTCGAGGGAGTGCAGCTCGTAGTCACGCTGTGCTGCAATGTGCAGCAGCACCCGAAGAGTAGTCATCTTCGGGGTGGGAGAGAAGGTCTGGAAGAAGTCGACCCCCTGTCTCAGACTGCAGCCTCGAGCAACGTAACGCGCCTTAAAGGCAGGCGGAGAACCCGGCGGCCGCTTCACTCTGAAAATCCACATGCCATCGACTATGTTCGCCCCAGGAGGAGGAACATCGTCGACGTAGGTGTCTGTGGACTTCCAGGAAGCCATCTCTGCGTCCATGGCTGTCTGCCACTGAGAGGAGTGATGGAAAGCGCGCGAATCTGGAGAGCGTACAAGAGATTAAGTCCGCCGACTTCGACGGAACATTGCGTGCAGCTCACGTAACCTTAAACTATGAGCAGGTACGCGTTGGAAAGGTCTTAATCTCTAATTTCCAGAAAGATGACGCACGCCTTTATCCAAGATCTAGGCCGATCGCTATCGCGATTTATGTGCGACAGGGTATCCTGGCGGAATTACTAGGCAGCCATGGATTAGTTCACGAAAGTAGCTTTAGCAAGAGTTCAGATCTGAAAAGTGACGAGTTGTTCAAACCCTACCAACCCAACCCTCGCCCTACAACAATCCCCAACAACCCAAAGTGCTAAACTAGCAACACCAAAGGTGTTGTAGTGAATAGCAAAGGTTTGTTGGTGCTTGTTGGGTGCGAGATCAATTCCAGCCCGCAACAAGTCTAACCACCACATTTTGCCCAAACCCTTAGCCCACAACCAGCTAGAGCAAAATACCACAACCACCTACACAATCAACAAGGAGTACTCACCCACGATCGCCTCAGTGTAAGAGCGCGGGGTAGGGATGTCAAGTGCATCCGGGTCTCCCTCAGGGCAAAGCAGCATGGATGCGAAACGAGGTAAAGCGGCCGCAAGACACTCAAGCTCAAACTGCCTGTCCTCAAGGACGTCACTGCTAAGGGCAGGCTCACCCCCGACGGACGGAGGACAGACAGACCCAGACTCAGTAACAAGACTCAAGAAGTAGTCGAGACGACTCCTAGCTGCAAAGTCGACTAGCTCAGTGACTACGGCAAACGCTGCAGTAGACTCGAAGTCAGGGTCAGTGACAACAGCAGAGAGGAGACGAGTGACAGTAGGAGTGGCAGCACGAGCAAGGTCGGACTCAGGGTCAGGAACGTGCGGAAGAGAGGACGCGGGAGGCTCAGGCAGGACAACATGCTGTGGAACAGAGGAAGGACGAAGTGCCATACCGTGAGTGCCTGGGACAGCAAGAGGACGAGGACGGGCGACACGACGAGCACGAACAGGTGTGGAAGCACGAGTCTCAGGCTCACGATGCTCAGTCAGGGACTCAGTCACCTCAGTGTGAGGAGCAGGAGCAGGCAGCGGGGAGCCGGGCAGTAGCTGTGGCTGAGACTGGTCTGTCGGTGGACACAGGAGAGGTGGAGTGAGGCCAGTGGAAGACGGTAGACTAAGAACCTGGCGAAGGACCGAGTCAGGCGGTGGCAGGGACGACTGCGGCTGCGGGTAGAAAAACAGTCGGCGCGGGGAAGTACCAGCAGCTCCAGCTCCTCCAGCACCAGCACCTCCAGCACCAGCAGCTCCAGTAGCACCTCCAGCACCAGCAGCACCACGAGCTCCGGCAGCGCCAGCACCTCTAGCACCAGCAGTACCTCCAGCACCTCCAGTGCAGCAGCTCCAGTAGCACCTCCAGCACCAGCAGCACCACCTGCTCCGGCAGCTCCAGCACCTCCAGTACCTCCAGCTCCAGCGCCTCCAACACCAGCAGCACCAGCACCTCCAGTAGCACCTCCAGCACGAGGAGCACAACCAGCTCCGACAGCTCCAGTACCTCTAGTACGAGCACCTCCAGGACCAGCAGCTCCAGCACCTCTAGTACCTCCAGTACCTCCAGCTCCAGGGCCTCCAGCACCAGCAGTACCTCCAGCACCTCCAGTGCCAGCAGCTCCAGTAGCACCTCCAGCACCTCCAGCACCAGCAGCACCACCTGCTCCGGCAGCTCCAGCACCTCTAGTACGAGCACCTCCAGGACCAGCAGCTCCAGCACCTCCAGTACCTCCAGCTCCAGTGCCTCCAGCACCAGCAGCACCAGCACCTCCAGTGCCAGCAGCTCCAGTAGCACCTCCAGCACGAGGAGCACCACCAGCTCCAGCAGCTCCAGTACCTCTAGTACGAGCACCTCCAATGCCAGCAGCTCCAGTACCTCCAGCACCTCCAGCACCAGCAGCACCACCAGCTCCGGCAGCTCAAGCACCTCCAGTACGAGCACTTCCAGGACCAGCAGCTCCAGCAGCTCCAGCACCAGCAGCACCTCCAGTACCTCCAGGACTAGCAGCTCCAGTACTCCCAGCACCAGCAGCACCTCTAGTACCAGCAGTACCTCCAGGACTAGCAGCTCCAGCACCAGCAGGACCGTACCCTCCACCACCAGGACTGCCTCGCCGAACGATCCACGCACGAATCGCCTGCGGCGAGAGCGTCTCAAGTAGATCAGGCTGCGGTGGGTGTCCAGCTCCAGGACCTCCAGCAGGGTCACCCACAGCTCCACCGCCACTAGGACTCGCAGCACCTTCAGAGTCAGCACCCCCAGTCGCAGCACCCCCAGAACCAGCACCCCTAGTCACAGCACCCCCAGTCGCACCACCCCCAGAACCCTCACCCTCTGTCTCAGCACCCCCAGGCTCAGCACCAGTAGTCTCAGCTATAGAGTCCAGAGCAGCAGGCTGCGGAGGCGGCGAAGACAGCCGAGGCGAAAAACCAGGGGGTGTCTCCAAGCGTGGAGAGCGGCGAGTGGCCGCCGTGTCGTCAGCGGCGGGGTCACCCCCCTCAGCTGGGCCAGAGGAGTCAGAAGAGATCTCCAAAGGCTCAACCAAGGGGGGTGGGTCTACCTGAGACACACTTGAGGGAGCAGGGCCCTGTGGGGGGAGGGGGTCTACCGGGGGGGGACTGGTACCAAGAAAATAGGCGCTAGGGGGACCGGGTGGGACGCGTGCGGGTGTAGCCTGACAGACAGACTCGTCAAAGGTGACGTCTTGGGAGGAGAAGACTCGACGCGAGCGCGGGTGGTAGAACTGCCACAGCGGGGCGTCGGTGGGGAAGCCAAGGAAGACACAGCGGAGAGTGCGAGAGGAGAGCTTGCTCGCTTTGGCATCGCGAACAAGGGAGAGCGCACCCCAGACCCGAAACACCGACGCATCGCCAACCTTCCCCGTCCACCGGAGTGTGGGCGAGGTCTCTGGCTCAGAGACACGGGGCCAGAGATTGAGCTGATGCGCAGCATATCGGACCGCAAACGGCCACAGAAAATGGGGAGCAGCCGCATGGATCATGGAGGTACGAGCAACCTCCATGATCAAGCTAATGCGACGCTCAGCAATCCCATTTTGCTGAGGAGAGGCCGGATGCCCTCGTCTCGACAGAACTCCGCAAGGAGGTCAGAAGAGAACTCACCGCCTCTGTCAGAGTGCAGACGCACTGCTCGTGCAGCTGGCGACGAGTAGCACGGATCCAGGGGATCAAAACATTGATGACGTCCGCCTTGCGCCGCTAGGGGAAGACAGTGGTGTAGCGTGTGTAGTCGTCAACAACCAGCAGGAAATAGCGCTCCTGGTCCGTTCCACCGACGGGGGCCGGGGCCCAAACGTCCATGTGGAGAGTCTGCAGAGGAGCAGTGGTCGGAGGAAACTCGGAGGAGTGAGGAGCGGCGCGCTGCCGCCCCTCGACGCAGGGAAGGCACGGCGGGGCAGGCGAGCGCGGGAGAGAGGGTAGGGACCCGGGAAGGCCAGAGACAAGGAGACGGGTGCATGCTGCGGAGACGCGGCAGGGAGGGGTGACCGAGGCGGTGGTGCCAGAGGAGAGTCTGGTGGGAGAGTACCCGGCACGAGCAAGACGCTGCAAGCTGACCAGACGCTGATACCTGACTCGACGCAGCCACCTGACCTGACTCAGCCACCTGTGCAGACGCAGTGGTCAGTGTGTACAGACTAGACCCAGGCCGTCGAGTGAACGTAGCAAGGTGACGGCCAGTCCGGGAGCACGTACAGATCGCCATACGCTGCCCTCCAGGAATAAAGGTATCAACCCAGACATCCTGAATGGCAGCGTTGCTCACCAAGTTCGTCGAGAACGTGGGGAGGTGGAGACCTGACAGAGAACCGGAGGGGACTGCTGGACACGGGAGGACAGTGGAGGCTCGTGCGACTACTGGGCCCCCAGTGGGGTCAGCCAGTGAGACTGGTACCGGTGCAGCAAGTGGTGTGAGTGTGGTGCAGTCACGACGCGCCTGAGTCAAGTGTGAAAGTGTGCAAGGCCTCAGCTGAGGCACGACCTGTGGCGGGAGATGCACGAGCACCTAAAGCTGCAGCAGACTCACTAGCACCTGGAGCGGCAACAGACTCACTAGCACCTAGTGCGGCAGCAGACTCACTAGCACCTAGAGCAGCAGCCTCGACAGAATCACTAAGCTGAGAAAACAACTCACTAAGCTGCTGCGGGGAGAAGGTCTCCTGCTGACTCTGCTGCCGCCTCTGTGCAGTACGCAGAAAGCCAAAGCCTCCACCACCTGGACGGGCTCGCTGAAGATCCCACTCGCGAAGCTGTTGCGGGGATAGCGTGTCTGGGTGAGGCAGTGGCTGCTGCTGTCCACCCCTAGCCGCTGCGACTACCGTGATAGTGGCCATGACAGGCAGTGGCAGTCAGTAGCAGCGGCGCAAGGGCAGTAGTAGCGACTGCTGTAGTGACTGTGGAGGCCAGTAGAGTACGTGGACAGCAGGGCACAGGCTAGCGCAGTAACAACAGTAGTGCCAGCAGTGGTAGTACGAGCAGCAGCAGCAGTCGTAGTAGTAGCAGCCGTAGCAGTAGCAGTAGCTCATGCAGCAGCAGCGCGTTGGGCAGCAGGGCGCGCTGGCGCTTTTAGGGTTGCGGGGCGCGCTGGCGCGCTTGGCTGCAGGGCGCGCTGGCATGCTTAGGGCTGCGGGGCGCGCTGGCGCGCTTAACAGCAGGGCGCGCTGGCGCGCTGGGCCGCAGGGCGCGCTGGCGCGCTTCGAAGTGGGGCGCGCTGGCGCGCGTAGGGCTGCAGGGCGCGCTGGCGCGCTTAGCAGCGGGGCGCGCTGGCGCGCTGGCGTGCTGGGCTGCGGGGCGCACTGCCGCGCTAGGTTGCGGGGCACGTTGGCGCGCTAAGCAGCGTGGTGCGCTGGCCTGCGGGGCGCGCTGGCGCGCTTAGGGCTGTGGGGCGCGCTGGGCTGCGGGGCGCGCTAGGGCAGAGGCTGCTCGCGGGCAGAAGGGGCGCGCAGGGCAGGGGCTGCTCGCGGGCAGCAGGGGCGCGCGGGGCAAGGGCTGCTCGCGGGCAGCAGTGGCGCGCGGGGCAGGGGCTGCTCGCGGGCAGCAGGGGCGCGCGGGGCAGGGGCTGCTCGCGGGCAGCAGGGGCGCGCGGGGCAGGGGCTGCTCGCGGGCAGTAGGGCGCGCGAGGCGAGGGCCGTTCGCGGGAAGTAGGGGCGCGCGGGGCAAGGGCCGTTCGCAGGCAGTAGCCGCTCGCGGGCAGGAGGGGCGCGCGTGACAGCTGGGCAGCGCGCTAGGGCAGGCAGTGCGAGTAGCCGCAGGGCAGCGCGACACTGAGCGAGCAGGGCCGGACAGCGCAAGGGCGCTTCGGGCAGGACAGCGGAACTATTGGTGGGCCCTAAAAACCTAACAGGTTTCCTGCTCTGAATACCATGTCAGAATAACTGTGCAGGAATGACTGGATTAGCAAGAGTTGGGGTACAAGTACTAACCCTAGAAGTGCTGTACCCCATAAGGAGTGCCCCACTATAGCCTACAAGTAAGATTGTACTTTGACATATACATACCGTAACTTGCACTGCATTCAGCTCCCTGGTATCGTATTTCTTGTTTGACGTTTTCCATTGCATAGTGGTGGTTATATTTTGTGTTCTGCTGACTGCAATCCCTGTGTCACTTGTAAAATCCAGAGACGTTCCGCCCCATGTAAACGTTATGAAAAACTGTGTGTGATTGTAATGTTGCAAGGGTGCGTTTCTGCACGCAGGACCACAATTCAAACAGACTTAACAAAACCTGGTTAAGATTACAGTTTAATCGTTTGAAGCACAACAGGGTACAGATCTACTAAGAATTCTCAAGAAGCACACATCCCTGGGGCAGGTGCAATGGTTGGTACAAACACTCTGCACCGCGTCTCCATTGAGAGGAAGAGAAAAGGGGTTTCGTTGGTTGGAAGGGAGAAGAGATTCTCATTGATTGGAAGGGAGAAACCATCCAAGTTGGAGCATGTGCACATGATAGCATAGTCAATGCTGCCATCCCGAGCCATCCTACTGACTGCACCGCATTGCACCGGTATAATTTTGTGAAGTGTGCCTGGTTAGTGGTAACAAGGGGGGGACAAAAGGGATAAGATGACTCACAAGGTATCACCTTTGATGAAAGGGAAGGCAGACGTGCAGGTGGCACACGAGCGAGCAATCACTTACCTTAAAGATTCTGCAACACGGCCTGCGGGGCTTTGGAGTACAATATCCCCGCCGCGGTCCCTTGATGCCTAGCTTGTGATGGTTTGTCATGTGTGTGAAATGTTTCGCCTTTTGGAAATTTGTAATGGCTCTCCTTCCCTCAAGCAAGTAAGCAAGACTTGTTGGCTCCTCCGCCCTCTCCTCCGCCCTCTCCTCCGCCATCATAGCCTTTTGACCTGTTAAAGCTACTTATGGTTTATATGTATCCCCATTGAGTCTGTGTGCACGTTATGCTTGCGTATTGCCCTTTGCATGCATGTGTTGCCCCTCTCAGTTCAACACCATTGCCACGTCTCAGAGCGGCGTGTATAGGCCTACCAATTATACCCACGCAATTGCTGCCTCCCTTCAACATGGCCATGCTCTCAACACGTCTCACTCCCTCCACACCCTGGTGCGTGTTAAAATTAGTGAGGTGTTGGGGAACTTCCCACATTTTTAGGGTTTGTGGCTCTGTTTAGTTGTATGTAACCGATCGCCCTTACGCTCTTACTCATGCACCACCACTGCGTCCACCCTCGGTGTCCCACACCTACAGCCGTTGCTGCCCGTGCTGTATCTTACCTTTGCCACTCTGCTAACACTGCTGTGGGGGATGGGCGTGACCCACACGCAAGCCAAGGCATGGGTGCATCAGCATGGCTTTGGCTGTGACGGCTGGGCTGATGAAGCTGAACAGTGCAATCAAGTGCTTTGTGGTATGACATGCGCTCTGCCCTCCCAAAAGTCATTTCTTCCTCTTTTGGAGCTCTATTCCTACTCCTCCATATCTTATTTCCTGTTTCCCATGATGCTGCATTGCTCTCCCCATCTCTGATCCTCCCATGTGCTCTCCCCTCCAACCTATGTTGAGTGCCAATACTCTTTCAACCTTTCTCCTTCACTCCTTTGTCTTCGTCTCTTCTTCGCACCGTGCTGCAGCCACGTGGAATTTTTCCTTTGCTGCACAGCCCAATGTAAGCATGCCCCACCTCAGCATCGCTCAACTTATGCCTCACACATGGAGATATGGTCATTGGTGACAATCAGTTTGTGTGTCTGTTAACGTATGAACTCTCTTGTCTCCAGTGAGCTTATCTTAATTGCTTGATAAGATGCCCATACGCAGTCCTCTACCCTCATCTCGTACTCCTGACCCCTGTGCATGCTCTAGGTTCGTCTCTGCGTGCTATGCTAATTGTACCTTATCATTCTCTAGTCCCTTATGCTCCCATATTTCTTATTTCGTATGCTCTCCATTGGTACGCGTGGCTCACATTGGGTTCTTGCATCGTCGATGAGAGTTTCCATATGATATTGACAACACACTAACAGCAGCCGAAAGCTGCCAGAAGTTGAGGTATTGCTGTTTGTTTTCAATCCTGCATTGAGCGCCTGACCGATACATACGTTCACGTCCTTTACCCGCACACCCTCTCTCCCTAACCTCCTATATCCTTTTTCCATGGCTGTTGCTATGTGTAGGATGCATGCATCTGTGATGCAGAGCTTGAGTGAGGCATTTGAGACTGTCGTGCCGAGTATTAGCGGAACACATGAGTTGAAAGAGGCGATGGAGGTGGGAATGATGACGCTTGACGTGCAGTTGGAAGAGACAAGGAGGGGGAGTTGGAGGAGGCTGAGAGGAGAAGGGCAGTAGAGATGAGTGAGATGAGACGGCAGGTGGAGGAGAGGGAGAGGGAGTTGGACGAGACGAGGAGGGAGATGAGTGTGGTGAGGGGGCAGATGGTTGAGAGGGAGAGGGAGCTGGAAGAGGCGACGAATGAGATGAGAGGGCAGGCGGAAGAGATTGAGAGGGGAGTTGCGGCGGCGAAGGGGGAGGTGGCTCGACAGCAGGATGCTGTCTTGAAGTTTATGGTTGATCTTCAAAGCAGCCAGAGTGAAGGTGATGAAAACACTGCATGGCAGGTGGGTGATTCATTTCACATGGCATGCATTGTCTGCTTCCACTTCTCGTGTTGACTATTTCTTTCTTCATCTATTGCCTTCAGATAATCAAGTCAGCATCACAAAATACCAGACTTGATCTGAGTACTTGCAACGGCGTCTCAGACGCCATCCTCTTCTATGCGTCTGCTATAAAGCAGCTGAAGCTCATTGACCTCTAGCTCAAGCTTCAGTGCAGAGGGCATCAAGCACCTCTATGGGCTGCCACGGCTGGAGATGTTAAGCCACAGTTATACAGACGTTTCAAACCGTGCCTTGGAAGGCATTGGATCCTTGATCAGTATTTGACAGGTCTCTCCTCTCTTGAATTGCTGAATCTCAATGGATGCAAGGGTGTGAGAAATACTGGCATGAGGGATGTGGGGAGGCTGACACGACTTGACAGACTTTGGTTGCACGGAACGGCAGTAACGGATAACGGGCTGTGGCAGCTGTCTTCCCTGACCAGCCTGTTATATCTCGAGTCCCCAGAAGGAGACTCAGTTTACAGCAGCGCGGACTTACTCAGGATGATAGGCAGGCAGGCTGGCAGGGAATGATTTGTGGACAAGAGGGGGTGGCATGGAAGCGTGAAGGGGTGTGAAGGGTGGGGGGAGGCGTGCATACGGAAGGACTCGAAGTTGAAGGGTGTGCAAATCGCAAGGCTCTACTTGCATATTGCCTAGAATAGAAGAATGACCATGTGAACGTGTGGCATGAAGTTGGAAACAAGATTGTTGCAAGGCCAATTAGATGAGACAGTTGCTGCATGTGTGAGGGATGACTTCTTGGCTTTGGACCGTTCAAGCTTTTTTCACAGAGGACATAGAATGGGTAAACAGGGGAGAATCCAACCAGGAACATACAGTAGGTGAGACTGTGAATACATCTTGAGAGGTGCTGTTTTCAGAACTCGAGAGTAAACAAGGAACGTGAGTCGTATGTCATAGAACCATCACTGCTCGCACGCATTTCCTGCTACTTACTCCATACTCCAGCCACTCAGTGGACCCCCCCACTGCACTGCTGTGTGCTTAACTATTTGGCTTCCACTATATAGGGGGTTCAGTCATTATGACCCTTATTTTGCAACCGCATGCAAGATTGTGAAGCGATTTGAAAGTACATATGCTTTCAAGAACATTCACATCTCCAATCTGATTGAACTCCCAACAGGCCTCATGCACGTCCCCGGCATGATGCTCGAACTACGTAGGCTGTCAGGTGCGTGACAGTAAAAACAGTGTGAGGTTGCTCTCTCACTTTGTCGCCCTCTCGCCCTTGCACCTTCACATCCACTAACTCTCCTGTAGTGCACTTCCATCACTACCATTATACCTCGATTTGTTGCCGCAATTCCCCAACCACATCTTCCTCCCTCCCGCCCTCCTTCCTATCCTGTATCCGCCTCCACCGCTTGCCATAATACTCCCATCTGATCCCCACCATCCCAGCCAAGCAGCAGCAACGACACCCTCAGGCACCACCTCTCCCTCCCTGATGGCCATCAGAACCTCTGGTGCCATCATCAGCTGTCTTCCACCTCCGCCCCCGTCCCTCAGCAGTATGCCCCAACCTTCTTCCCTCCCTCTCACCTTTCCCTTACAGAACCAGCAGCACTCTGCCTTGGATTTGTGAAGAGCCAGCCGATAGATCTCTAAAACACACAGCCGGACAGCACTGCAGAGCCACGGTGAAGGAGAGAGGGAGTCAGCCGCAGGTGGATGGAGGGAGCAGGGGAGGAGGCGGGGAGAGAAGAGCGAGGCAGACAAAGGTAGCTGCACGCCGGTCTGTTTAGGCCCCATGCTGGTCGCATGCTGCTCAGGCAGACCTTTTAGTCTCGCTGGTGCAAGCACATAGCGTCACCATGCCGTGTCTGAAGGTGTGTCTAAGCATGTCTTTGCCCTAAACCTACAGGAAAGAGTGATGCAGCTAGTTAAAACCAACCGTTGGAGTGAGTAGAGCTAGCATCACGATATTATCAGGATCATCATGTGCAAACCTCTGCACGATTGTGAAACAATGTAAATGTGCAAAAAGTTTCAAGAATCCTGACTTGGTTAATATCCGAGTGTGTCCAAAATACCAACACATCTCTTTACGTACCCCTTGGCCTTGTCCAGCCCCACATCGTCCGCCACTCATTCAGTCAGCCATATGGTGTGACGTGACTCACAACACATCAACACGTCTTTCCTCCATCTATCCCCTCCTCACCTTCTCCAACACCTCTCTCCACCTCTCAACCCCCATCCCCTCGGACCCCTCCCCATTATTCCAATACTCTCTCCACCCAACTCCCTTCCCTCGCCCTTGCATTCACCCATCAGCCCACTTGGCGACCGTGATGCTTCTCCTGATTCTTACGGGTGCTTGCACACTTCTCCAAGGCACAAAAACTTGAAGCAGTGGACATGGCGCCACCATGGTGATGAGTGTTGAATTATATTTGCATATCCTGTTATAACTGCCTACAGCTTGCTAGTGTATTAGTTAGATATTAGGTTCAACTGCTGGTGGTGTACCCTTTTCTCCTTTCCCTTTCCTATATCTTGTATCCTTCTTTCTAGTGCAATCCTCCGTCTTTGCCAAAGCCTCTCGATACCATCTCCTAGCTCCAAGTCTTCCTCCTAAGCCTAAGTCATGCCTCCTAAGCTTACACAGTTACTTTGACATGGTATTAAGAGCTGGGTCCTTCTAAGGACCTTGTTATTTTTCATTCGTCATGGCTGCCATCGTTGCCATGGCGACCGTCGCAGCGCCCTTCGAGGCGCTCGCCCGTTGCCTGCCCCGCGCTGCTCACCCCGCGCTACCCGCCCCACGCGCTGGTCGCCCCGTCCCGCGCACTGTCGCGTCGCCCCGCTGCTGGTCGCGGACGCCAGCGCGAGCGCCAGCGACGTGCGCCAGCGCCAGCGACATGCCCCAGCGCCAGTCGCGAGCGCCAGCGCGAGCAGCGGCCGCCAGCGCCCCCGCCATCGCCACACCGCTCCCCGCCTCCGCACCTGCCGCCTCTCTCTTCTACGGTAGACGTTGCGGGGGGGGAGGTGGCGGGGCTCGCGCCCGCGGCTACGGGGGTGCTTAAGCCCCCTTGAACCCTCCCGCCCCTCCCTACTACTCCTCCTCATCGCTGCCCGTGCATCTGCAGTGCGTGCCGCGTTTTTTTTAGGGGAGGGGGGGGGGGAAGAGGGTGTGGGGGTGGCGGGTATTTGAAGGCAGCCGCCTCCCCTTCTCCTCCTCCTTCTGCTGCACTTCCTGTCCTCCTCCTCTCTCCTCTCCTCTCCTCTCTCCTCTCCTCGAGCCGCCTCCTCGTCCGCTTGTTTGCTCCTCCAGCCGCTTCTCCTCGGCTCTCCGCCTGTGCGCCACCAGCTTCCTCCTCCTAGCCAACGGTTGGTGTTCATCACCAGCAGCCTACGCCCTCCGGTTATCCCAGCCCTCCTCCGCGCCCTCCGCGCCCTCCACCACTAGCTATAGTCGTAGACAGTCACGGGGGTGTGCTGAATTATATTTGCATATCCTGTTATAACTGCCTACAGCTTGCTAGTGTATTAGTTAGATATTAGGTTCAACTGCTGGTGGTGTACCCTTTTCTCCGCTTACATAGTTACTTTGACAATGAGTGGGGGTAGAGGGTGACGTGGCAGGAAGAGCTGGTTATTTCCTGTGTGGCGTATGAGATCAAGACAGGTGCAGCACAAAAGCCTCCCTCCTCCCTGGTTCGTCGCTCTCCCCCTCCCCCCACATTCCTTCTCCCCCTCCTTTCCCCCCACATACCTACCCTTCTTTTCGTCCTCCATCTTCTCAACCCCACGTCCCTTTCATTTCCGTCTGCAGCCACTTCATCCACTCTCTCTCTGACATTTCTCTTTCCTCTCTCCGCCGTTCCTTCCTTATTCCTTATTACCCGTTATATCTTGTTTAACAGGCCCAATATGCCCGGCAGTCGACAACACTATGGTTCCGATTCGGCCAGGGCAGAAAACAATAAAGCTCCTAGAAAAACTGAACGCCCCAACCCCAATGAGGTTATCCTCCTCTGCCCGCCATCACCGTCTCATCTACTCCCCACCATCCCAGCCAAGCACCAGCACCATTTCAATTGCACTTTAGGGATCAACTTTTCCTGTTCTGTTCCTATATCACCTACACCACAATCGCCTGATATGCAATCACCCAATTCTCCCCTCCACGACCCATCAAACCTCATGTGCTGTGTATATTTATGCATCTCCCCTTTTCTCTTAAAAAATTCCTCCCCCTCCAACATCAACCCCCCCTAAACCTAGTGATTGAGTGACCTAGTCAGTAAGTGACCTAGTCAATGAGTGAGTGACCTAGCCTTGAACAGGTTCACATTGTGACTGACCTAGCCTATACTGCTCTACCTTATGAAGGGCCTAGCTTGTGACCGACCTAGCTTTTGAGCGACCTAGGTTGTATCCGACCTAGCTTGTACTTGACCTAGCTTGTGGCTGGTGAGCCCAATCTGTCTTGACCTCTACAAGGTGTAATCCACTAGGTCGTGGATCAAGGTTCATGTTGGGAGTAGCAGCAAACTTATGAGAAAACGCTTAGCAAAAGGATGAAGACTTGAGATACTTGTTCCTAGAAATTCAAGAAAATCTCAAAGCCTCTAAACCTAAAAAAACCCTTAATCGCAAACTAGTTTCGGCCAAACGGGACAGAACCCCGCTAAGCCTTCATCAGTGCTGCTTTCCAGGTTCACAAGAAAGAGAAGCCTCGGACAGAAGCTAGCTAAGTACCTGCTACTGCCCTCGAGATCAGCTTATTGTACACCAACTACCCAGATTACAAATCAGAAGCAATCGCCAACTAAGCAGGGGGGATAAACCCAATGTGCTTTGTCAGCCTTCGCGAAATGTCTTCAACGAATTGATCGGTTCGGTAACCGCGCACGCACAAGTAACCTATGCAGGTTACGAGAACACTTCCAAGCAGTTATAATTCTCTCCACATAGAATCCGCGTGAACTGAGACGACTTTTGAGGCGCCTCAAAAGGACCCCCAGCCTGAGACGA